CGATAAGTCAGTTCTCTCGATAAGTCAGCCAAACATGCTCAGCCATGCACGGCTGACTTATCGAGTTTACCTATGTAGTTGGTGAAAAATTTAGAACATGTTTACCTAGTACAATAATGAGATACAAGATTTGAAATATTTACTTTACATATCAAAACTATTCGTGTAACCAATTTTTGTTTTGATAACAATTTAATAGTCTCAGACCCCCTTTTTGCTGGTGGACATCCCATATCTTGATTTTTAAGTTTGTAAGAACATCTAGCTTGCAAAAAATTATCTCATTCGAATCAAACCAAGTATAAATAGTTGAAATGATTAGTATATCAAGGCTTCACTACTTTAAAAATAATGTTTCATGGGACTTGGAAGGTTTTCTCAATTGGAGTATGTTCTATGCCACCGATTTCGGAAATAAAGATATGGAACATCGTGCCTACAGGACGTATTTAGAAGCAATTTTGAATGACCCGAAACTATTAGAACCTCGTGATGGTGAAACAGCTCGGGAGTTAGCAGAAGAAGCTTTAAAGGAATTTAAGGTTGAAACTTTTGTTTATTTTTAATCATGAAGAGCCCAGAAGGTACTAGGATACGTCTGACAGCCGATGGATACGTCTATCGGGTACCTTTAGGATACGTCTGAATGGGCATAACTTCTTTGCAACGTGATTTGTTATTAATTTACCCAGAAAGTGCTAGGATACGTCTGACAGCCGATGGATACGTCTATCGGGCACTTTTAGGATACGTCCGAATGGGTTTTTGTTCTTTTCTATTTTATTCATTAGAAAGAGGCAAATTCAGTTAAAATCGACATCTTCTGGAGGAATTGTCCATCTTTTTTAGAAACATTGAATACGGCGGTGAACCTCAATACTAACAAGATGATTGGTCGAGTTTCAGAATTACATGAGGACGTCAGCAATACAATTTTCAGTATCACGCAAGATAAATTACATTTTGGTAATACATTTAATTTTCATATATATATGTATTCTTCTCTGAATAGTGATGAATATTGGCAATATTGCTAGAACGTAAGCGAGTCCGTTCTCATGAAGAAGAGTCAGTTGAATCACAAAAAAAGAAAGCGTCATCAAGAAAAAGGGTTGGTATATAGCTTAAATTTTTGTCCGCAAAAAAAAACCTTTTACAGAAGTAATCGAGTTTAATTTCTTTAGGGGAATACTTTACCAGATGGAACTAAAATTAAGAAATCGGCTCCTCTTGACCTGTTTCCAGATGAAGAAGATTCCTCCGAAGAGCACGATGGCGAGGATAACGAACAAGATGACGACGAAGATGTCCCAGCTCCTGAAGAAATTCTCGATTCTATACTTGGTAGTCAAAAAAAATGGATTCTGCCCTCTGGTAAAAATGTTGGTGATATTACTGCCAGAAACATATCCACAAATGCAAAAGTAATTCAAAAGAAGAAGAAAACATCAGCCATAGAAAGAGCCATATTACGTTACGGATCATCACGAATAATTGATTTATCGACGAATATGAAGGATTGGTTCTCTGTTGATGACAGGAAATTCATGATGAAAAATCACAATGCTATATTGCAAGTTCCTGGGATGGCAGTTGAAGAAAGCTCATTTGTAACAACCGTTGAGAATGTATGTGTATTTTTTTCGAGTTTACTTGTTCTTATGTACATGAATATTGACTCATTATCCTTATACAGATGATATGTGAACAAAAAGCAAACGAGGCGTATAAGTTTTGTATTGAGACGCACATTGATTCCAAAGAGAACAGCTATATGTACAAGCTTAGTAAAATATATTCCGACTTGTGAGTAATTTGACATACTACATATTTTTTCTATTATTTATTCTTTCTTTTCGTGATTTAATTTTGTGTTCAGTATTTATAGATGCAAAGACCGGGTAGATATGTTAGATTATGGTCATACAGAAATCGATGTAATTCTTAAGACGTGTTCATATATCATTGAAGGATTGAATAAAGACCTTGTGATACGCCAAAAATGGTTTGTGTGAATGAATCAATAATGAGATATGATTATGCTTTCACGAGTTATTAACACCATAATTTTATGTATCAAAGGGGGGAATCTTTTTGCCCGTTAACTAAAAGCATAGAATACCACAAAGGTCGAAAATGTGATGTACGTTTTTTATCTACATCAGGTGTAGATATAGGAGAGTGGGAATTCGCGTCAAACTTAACGGCACAAAAAGCGATTGGTGACCGTTGCCGATCTGGACGGATAAATCAATCAATTTTAAACGGGTTGTTAAATAGAAACTTGAATGATGAACAAGCAAAAAAAATAAACGTTCCTTTTTTGCAGGTTGCTAGTACAAGTGGTCAAATGTTGGTCGAAGATTTAGTTGAGGGTTTTTACGTTGTATTTCCCGGTCCGACATTTGAATTTCCCACAAAACTGCGACATATCGAAAATTTAAAATCGGCTGTTAATATTATCAAGTTTGTTATGGTGAGCTTATGATATTTCATTTGTTCATTAAAAAGGTTTACATGTTTAACTTTTTGACATTTTGCATAGGATAAGTACATCCAAACGAACGAGATAGTGGAAAGTAAAGTAAGTATACACAATGCGTTTGATGATATTTTCAGCAACAATAACGATCTTGTTATGAACAAACTTGTTCATTGTAAGTCCAAATATATTTGTGAACTATGGTGGACTCCGAAAAAGTAATAAGTCATAATAATAGAAATTTTTTGATATATGAGAGAATTTTAGTTTAGATTCAGTAAATTGGTATATAATTATATAGTTGAAATTTATATATTTCATTTAGCAATTTGTATGTAAAATAAAAATATACTGTTAACTATCTGAGAATTTTTTCTTGGCAAAAGTGATCAGCGTTCTGAGGTGCTGAAATGATGTTTAATATAAAGAAAATCTTTAGAATGGGCTTATTGTAAATTTACAGGCTATTTGTCAACAGTTTCCAGAAAAGATCGAGAAAGTAAATTCATTTTTATATAGAGTAGCAGAATATATTATATATATCTTTATCCTATTACTATATTTTTTACCGTGTTAATAAAACCAATTCTGGTAGTCTATTACACACATAAGTTCGAAAAGAAAAAATAATGTATGAAATGCACGTACTTAGTCTGATCGAATTAATTTCTACACATATTGAGAATTCCCGAGTCAATACTATTTATTTCTAAATATTTACATACCTATCCATAATCAAATACATCCTTCACATCTTGTGTCTTCTTATTTATGACAGTTATATGACCCTCATGAATTATATGTTCATATTTATCCCGGTTTTGAAATTGTAAATATTGCATAGGATTTGTAGTAAATCCACCTTGAGTTTTGCATCTGTTATTCTTAGATTTGCGAGACATATTAATATCTTATGTATAATGACGTATTATATCAAATTTTTTTAACTATTTTAAATGCATGGATCAGGCCAACTTGGTTCGACATATGATTCGAATATTTTAGCAGTTCTTGTAGCTTAGATGCAAAAACATTCTCATTACATGGGACAATATCGTGTGACTGATGAATTATAAAACTATAGCACCCAAAAAAAGGCACAAAATATTTTATTATATATATAAAACATATATATTATGTGTCTTTGACACTAGCTCTGCTATTCTCTCTGGATGCTACCACCACCTGCATTTCCTTGGTAGGTTCCTGGTTCGGAATTAATGAATACTAATTTTAATCTTAACTCTCCTGCTGTATGATTCTCTGGTTGTCCCGGATTATTGATGATATTACCAAGAGGTATTTTTTTTTTTGTTATTGACCATTAGATACGAATCATTTTTTTGAATATCCCTATAATCATGTAGAGCGGTGAAAATGAGGTATATATGAAAAACAAAAACAGCTTCCTTCCAAAAAAATAGAGAAATCATGCAACTTACAATGTAGTAGGAGGTTCTCCTTGATTTAACGTTCCCTCGTCGAATTTTTTACCGCCCTCATCGTGAATAGCAAGATAAATATTATCCAGTCCCACTATGGAAAAGTGACATTATTTTATTGGATTATGTCCGTGAATTCCATACATAAACAAAATTAATAAAAGAATTTATTTACCAAATGAAACTTCAATATATCCGTTCATTGTAGAATTTTTTCGTTAAAAAATATAAGAGAAAAACTCACCTCATAAATCCGCCTTATTTATAGCAGAGCTAGTGCCAAGACACAGTTTCATTTGATAACCTGCTAGAAGAAAAACATTAGTAATTACGCTACCTGATCATTTCTCGGATCTTTCTTCGTAAGGCAGGTCTATTAAGTCATGGGTGTCAAGAACTAAATATATTTCGCCTTTTATGGGGAAATTAAACCTTCCAGTTTGGCGATCTCTCATTCAAAGTGTAAAATAAGACAAATTTTGGCGATCTCGGATCTCAAGTTCCGTAACATATGAATTTTGATATTATTACTGATAAAGAACAATAAACTCTCCTCATTCATATCCTTTTTTGAGCCTCATTCATAGTTGTTCTATCGAAAAAGCCATATACAATAAGGAAAAGGCTTTATTAACTCCATAATCTATTAATATAGTGAGAAAATAATTTAGCAGTATCACAAATTAGTCGTGTGTAACATTCAACTATATATGAGTCTAAGACTATGCTCTGCATATTAATATCTCGATTTTTTACCATTTATCAATATATTCGCTCAAACCCCATAATCACTTACAAAATAAGATAAAATGATTCAAATAGAATTTGCACAAAAAATGAATCCAGTTTTAACTAACAATATAAAACCAAATCTAATAGGTCTAATCCTTAAATTCGATATAAATCACATATACTTCCATAAACACTACAAATAGGTTATATAAAATGGCTAGCTTAAGTGAAAGATGTGGAACTAATTGTACCGACGCTGAATGGGATGAAATTCTGGAGATGAGTATTGTTTCATTGAATGAGACTCCTACTGATTGGATGGAATGGATTTGGGAACGTCTTACATATTTTAGAGAAAATGATCTCTTACCTTATAATAGTAAAAAATATCTTGAAGCCAGAAAATTAATAACATATTGGTCTGAGGTTAATGGATTTTATAAAAGCTATGCACCTGAAATCAGTATTGCTATCTGCTTTTCTTGTAATCAATTAGTATATACTGGAAAACGAACCAAAAATATTGGAAATTATAATCACATAGGAATGGAGAAACATTGGGCTTCTCATTGTATGGGAAATGCATATTGTGGAGTAAATTATGATGAGTACTTACTGAAATTGAACAAAATCTATTTCAGGGTATATCTATGATAATGAGTATGCATTGCATCAATATGAATTATGGATGTTCAATGCTATCAAGAAGGTTAAGCGTGCAAGAGAAATTGGTAGAAAAATTCTAGCATGTAGAATTATACAGAGAAAATGGTTAGAAATTTTCTTCAGACCCGAAGGTATGTGTGCCAGTGTATAAAATTCAATGTGCGGAATGTGCGGGTGTAACATCATACATTAGCAGTTTTCTGCAGATAGTTTCTAAATTTGTAGAAATCTGCATTAGTTACACACTGAAATTTACACATTGATGTGTGCTACCGAATTAGCTGAGCATTACAAATTATTATGGGCAGTTCGAGAAGAAATCGTCAAGTTAGCAATGTATAATACACATATCTATTTATCTGGTCAATATATCTATTTATTATATAACTTATTCATATATTTAAAATAAAACCACCTAAAGTATTCCTTGAGGGCTAGTACTTTAGACTTTATTTCGATACCCCTTGAGGGCTGGTATCTTTTTTTTGTACCAGATTCCCATGTAAACTGAAAATAGTTACTTATTATTATTAGATTTTGCAACATCTAGATTTAAT